GGAGAAGGCAATGGCACCCCACTCCAGTACTCTTGCCTGGAAAATCCCATGGACGGAGGAGCCTGGTGGGCTGCAGTCCATGGGGTCGCTAAGAGTCGGACATGACTGAGCGACTTCACTTTCACTTTTCACTTTCATACATTGGAGAAGGAAATGGCAGCCCACTCCAGTATTCTTGCCTGGAGAATCCCAGGGATGGGGGAGCCTGGTGGCTGCTGTCTATGGGGTTGTACAGAGTCGGACACGACTGATGTGACTTAGCAGCAGCAGAAGCAACCATTATTATACAATACTGTGCAACCATTAAAAATAAAAATCTTATAGACTAATGAAATATCTTAGAATGTGGTATATTGCTTGAAATATATTCTTAGCTTAAGAAAATAGAAGACAAAGTATACACAGTGAAAAATTCCTAAATTAAAAATATGTATATATGAATATAAAAACACTGAAATGCCAGTAGGATGTGTGTGGAATATCAGTAGTTACCTCTGTACAGTGAGACTGTGGGTGTTTTCCCCTCATTTGTTCACCTCTATATTTTCAAAGTTTCCACTAATTTAACGTATTTATAATAAGAAAATAAGAATGGATTATTAAATGGATTATTAAAGAAACTCTCTCTGTCCCAGTATAAGAAATTTTTGATGACACCCAAAGATTCTGGGCTGTGAGCATTGAACAGGACTTCAGCTCACCTGACATTATAGTCAGAAACATGTAAGAAGTCTATAGCTCGGTTTACATAATCTCCTAATCAGTGAATTTAAAGCAAAATATACTAAAATGTACCACAGAAAAATTAAACATAAGTAGACTAGATGTGTAATGGGCATATTTAATGAACCTTGGGAATCACCAAAGCACTGTTTATCAAGGGGAATTTTTGTGTGGAAATGATTTTGATTTTTTTTTTTTTTTTTTTTTTACCAAATAAGATCAAAGAACAAGGAGTCTTTTCCAGGGTCTAGTAATAACATTTTCTTTCTATGAGTTGCCCTAATTAGCCAGAAACTTTCAGGATTTTCTTTCTCTGGTAATTTTAAAGAAAGACTTTCCTATCGCATCCCACCCCCTCTGCTAATGGTGTGGCCGCCTTGGCCAGGAGCCAGCTCATCCCACTTGAATGGTACCTCTCTGCTATTTTTTATTATAAGCCAAGCGACTGAATTGTTATAGTTGTGCCCCAATAAATGAATTAATAACTCTTGCTGGCTTCAAATAAGAAGGAATGCTTGAGATATTGACACAGGCTGCCTTTTTCTGAACATCGCATATTCAAGTTAATATGCCTGTCACGTGTGGGAGTGACACCACTGTTATCATCTGTAGGGTGTTTTCAAATGAACAGCCATTGAATTTGTTGGAATTAGAGACACAAATTAGAGTTTTTACAACATCCATTTTCTCTGTTGCCAGAAAGATTTGTTCTGAACAGTCTCCTGAATTTTAAGTATTTTAAGCAGGCCTTATTCCTCTTTCTCAAACATAAATTTACCAGTCCACAAAACTTCGGAAAAATTTAAGAAATGACAAGTAGAACACAGCCGAGAGGACACCACCCAAGAAATGTGTTTAGCCGAGGCCTCAGGATTCACAGCTATTAAGGCCTGTGTAATGGAAGTCTGGGAGATGGAGGGGAGAGACATGCAGGATGACTACAGTTTGTGAAAAATTCTTCTCCTTCCCCTTCTTTTGAAAATAATCCACAGGCATCTGAGCAGAGTAGATCTTTAAAAGCAATTCTACTTAGCCTTTTCATTATTCTGTTTGGGGAAACAAAACAACTATAAAGCAAGCAAAAAACAAGCCGTAAGTAGGTGAAAATGAAAGAGAAACACATTTTGATCTGCCATGGCATAATTTAATAGGAAAAAATGTTCCTAAAAATATAGTATGTCATTTATGGAATCAAATTCCAGCCTGAGAGCGAAAGTAGTTTATTCACTCATTTCTCATTTATTCACTCATTTGATGTGTTATCAAAGACTTACCATGTACTCAGCACTTCATTAGGCACTGGGAATTTAGGGGCAAACAGGCAGTTCAAACCCTTGTTTCAAGGATCTGGAGACAATGAATTAACACATCCCATACCTTCAAGTATAATAAGCACATGAAGAAAAGCAGGAACTTTAAATGCTTACCACTATCTGTACTGTCATTTGTTTTGGGAGCTGTATTGTTAGCGTCTGTTCTCCTGCCCCTTTAATTGGAATCATAGATCTGGTTCAGTGAAACCAAGAAAGCTCTTTGGAGACTGTTGATTTTCTATGGCTGCTGTAACAAATTACCACAAACTCAATGCCTTAAAACCACACACATTTATCTCACTGTTTCTGTAGATGAGAAGTCTAGGTGAGCTCGACTGGGCCCTCTGCATAGGGTCTGCAAGCTTGAAATCAAAGCTGTGGCCCTTACGGAGGGCTCTAGGGAAGAATCTGCTTCCAAACTTGTTCAGATTATTGTCCAAATTCAGTTTCTTGTGTTTATACGACTGGTGGTCCCATATTCCTTGCTGGCTGTCCTCATTCCTTCTCCTGTCCAGGGGTCCCTTCCAGCAACAGGAAGTTGAGTCCTTCCCATGCCTAGAACCTCTGACTTCTCCTCTGCCTCATCTTTCCGACTTTATCTTCTGCTCTGTGAGAAAACTCAGTGTTTAAGGGTTCAAATGATTACATTGAGCCCACCAGGTCCTTCAGGACAATCTCCCTACCTTAACGTTTGAAACCTTATTTATATTTGCAAAATTTGCTCTGTCATTGTAACATAAGATTTTTTTAACATTCATGTAAAAAAATTTTAATAGACTTTAGCAATCTTGTTTTTATGTTTTATCTTTTTAAAATTATTTGCGTCTTAGTTGCAATATGCGAACTCTTAGTTGCAGCGTGTGGGATCATGTTCCCCAGCCAGGGGTTGAACCGAGGCCCCCTGTGTTGGGAGCTCCAAGTTGAGTCTTAGTACTGGACCACCAGGGAAGCCCCGTAACATATTAATAGGTTCCAAGGATTAAGGCATGAACATCCTGGGGTAGGGGGTAGTGGGGGAAGCATTCAGACCTACCAAAGATAAATTTCAAACAGTGGCTTTCACTTAATTACGCCTAAAGAATCTGTGCTTAATAAGTATGGGCTGTTCTTCTATTTCCAGGACATTCACTTGGCCAGGAGATTATACGACATGGCTGCTCAAACAAGTCCAGACGCTCACATACCAGTGTTCTTGGCCCTCATGAAATTGCAAACTGTGCATTTGCTCCAAGATATCCTGTTTTTTAATGTAAGTTTGTCTCAAATAGGTCCAAATCTCTGGAAACTCCAAGGAGCAAACTCTTGGGTAGAGGGATGGGGGGGAGATGATGTTCTGAATAAAGTGGGAGGCTTGGGTTTATTTTTGACAGAATGTCTCTTGCCTGCAGTTTACAAAGAGATGGAAATGGATGACATTGGATAACACTGTTGGACCATACTGGGATTTATTTGTGATTGGCCTAATTGTTGCTGTGCTGATCTTCTTGCTTAAAAATCGCTATGGGTAGGATCTGGACCATAGAAAAACCTGCTCACGGGAACCAGTCCACTTCAAGTTATCTTCACTAAATAAAGAACTTCCCCATCAGACTCAGGAGCCTGCTGCTGACTTCTTATGCAGGCCTTGAGGGAAAATGGACAAAGACTGGGACCTGTCCTCTAAGGAACCGCTTAGCTGAGATGACTCCTTGTGGGGAGAGGTTTGTTGGAGACTCATCAGCTCAGATTCCCTTACAGACTTCTCGTCTTGGGGCGCGCTAGTCCCACGTGTTAGTCACTCAGTCATGCCCGACTCTTCGCGACACCATGGGCTGCAGCCCATCAGGCTCCTCGGTCCATGGGATTTTCCAGGCAAGTATATTGGAGTGGCTTGCCATTTCCTTCTCCAGGTTCTAGTCCTGAGTTAGGGATAAAGACCACCCATTTTCATGTGGTTGTGACAACCTGTCCCCTTTCGAGAGGACAAATGGGTTTCTCGGCCCCTACAGACATACTGAGAGTTTGGGAAGGGCAAGAACACAGATCCCTCAGAATTTGAGAAAGGCAAACATTACAAACATCTTATCTTGAGGGAATGACCTGGTGAACCACAGTCTATCTCTGATGAGCCAAAGTTCTTCATGGTGGTGCTGTGCCCGGGGACTGACTCAGCCTCCTCACCGGGGTCCTTCAGTCTGAGCTCCCTTAGCAGCCGTGTACTGAACAGCTCCATCTGGCGTCCATCCAGCATTGCATCCCTCTCTTCCATTCCTCACTGGAACCCTGGGGACTCCCCTTCGGAGGACTCACAGTGGGCAATGGTACAAGCCTCCAAGGACAGAAGGTAAGGGGCCCGGCTCTTGTCCCCCTGATGGATGAGGCAGGGCTGGGGCCCAGGGCTGGGGCAGCGGGGAGGAGACAGGTGCAGGAGACCCACGATCGAAGTCAAGGGCCAGGTTGAAATCTCACCCTCACTGAGCCTCAGTTTCCTGATCTGCAAAATGAAAAGATCGATCTTTTCATCTTTTTCCCTTGGGATAAAGCTACCCACTCCAGTATTCTGACCTGGAGAAACCCATGGCCTGTCCATGGGGTTGCCAAGAGTCGGACACAACCGAATGACTTTTTCACTTTTTCAAGATCTTAGAGAGCTGGTATGAAGATTAATGGGATCATGCATGTAAAGGAATTATCCCAGGGTCTGGCATCTAGAATGAATTTCCATAAATGGCAACTTTTAATATTCTCTAAAAGCTCATGGCAGATTGGTTGAAACATGGGGACAGTTGAGGTGATAACAGTCAGTGTGGTTTCGGTACCCAGAGGTTAGTTCTCCAGCCAAAATGCTGGGTGTTTAGGCAGGAAAAGATTGTACTTGACTACTTGAAAACCCAAACTAGGGACAGGAAGAGAGTTAACTGATAATGTCTATCATAATCAGAAAGGAGAGTGAAATGGATTTGGAACCAAACACCCTGTGTTTGAGGTCCAGCTTTCTCCCTTAGTAGCTCTGTGACTTTGGGCATAGTTTCTCCAAACCTCAATCTTTCCTCCATCAAATGGGATTAATTCCTACCTGACTGGAGATTTGTGAGATTTCAATAAGCCTAACTTCACAGATGGGAAAACAGTGGAAACAATGGCTGACTTTATTTTTTGGGGCTCCAAAATCACTGCAGATGGTGNCTTTGGCCATTAACTATCCAGACCTATCTGAGGCCTAAGTATTTAGAATTTCCTGCACACAATCCTTGACTTACTAGAGAGTTCATTTCCAAAGGACAATAAAAGCCTAATTTACACATGTGAAAGGAAGGAGCAGGCAACATCCAAACCTCAGGTCAGGGCCTAATGCATACGCTGGCCGTGCAGTTCTATCTGACAGGTGTCTGGAATGCAGCACATCAGATTGGGATAAATGCAGAGGGGAGTGTAGAGTCAGTGAGCCCTGGCTCCAGGACCGGGTGAAGAATAAGCTGCTTCGAGGTAAAGCCTGTGAGAACAGCTGCAGGTGGGGCAGAAAGGGAGATGGCGGTGTGCTGTGTCGAGGGGAGCACTGCCTGAAACCTAGGAGCGGGGCCAGGGTGAGCTCATCACTTCCCTGTTTCAGCTCGTTGCTCCAAGTGAACACGAGCCAAAGGCTCTGAAAGCAAGCGTGGTTCAGGGTGTTTGACTCATTCAGACGTCTGTTTCTGGGCTTCTCCTCCCAAGCCAGGGCTGTAGCAGCTCCCTCGCCCACACCTGGGCGGCCTCGTGGTGACTGATCACCGAGCACCACACACTCTTTCACACAGAGCCTTCCCGCACGTGTCTCAGTCAGAGGACTTCTGGTAGCAGGAAAACAGCTGTGTCAGCTTCCCTGTGATCTGCGGCCAGTCCAGCTGCACATGAGCCCTGTGAGGGCGCGGGGTGGGCCTTCTCGTCTCTGAGTACCCAGGCCTCCACATACGGAAGGTCCTCAGCCAGCACTGGGTGACCAACTTGTCCACACCCGCCTTCCTCACCCCAGCCCGGGCCAGCTCACCCCCTTCTCTCAGCACAAGCCTGTCACGAAGTGCACAGTGACTCATGTTTTACACCCAGCATAGAAGCTGGTCCTTTAGTTCCCAGCTACAACACAAGGGAGGTTACAGTGGAGTTTATCTGTGATTCACACAGTTTTCTCACCTTAGGAAAGCTGATGCTCTATAACTTTTAAAACTCTCAAGGCTGAATTAAACAAAAATCTCTGCGGGTGGGAGCCAGGCAGCAGAGCCTAGGTCGAGGTCTACTGTAACCCACAACATGGAAGCGTGCTATAAACTATTCAATGTAAGGCGGTGACTCTGGGTTTCGCTAGACTCGGTGCTTGGATGGAGAGCTGTGCTGGGGACATTCACAAATGCACCTCCGGCCAGGTGGGGGCGATGGCTGGGCCTTGGCTCTGCTGAGGTTGCGTGAATGACCAGGCCTGCCTCAGGTGGCTGGACAAGACTCTGGAACATCTTTGTTCCAAGCCTGTCTCTCCAGGGCCGGCTAGTGACCTCAGGCAAATGAGTCTCTCTATGGGACTCAGTTTCCTCAACTGCAAACTAAGAAAGATTTCTCTAATGTCTTACAGCTCCAAAGTTTTATAATTCCAATCCAGACTCTCAGTATAACATTAAGATCTATATCAGAAAACGTCTTAAAATCTTTCCATGTATGGGAAGAATGATTTTTTAGGTTGTTTTAGCTTTTTTTTTTTTCCTGCCACCTAATTAATTTCATTCAGCATTTGTGCATGTGTTTTGAATTGGAAACATTATTTTGTGGTGTGTGCTTGTGTGAAATGATTTATCCTAATTTGTGTTTTATTAATTAGAAAATAATTTCTAGGTGAAGATAAAGTGCCTCTGAAAAAAGGAATGTTCAATCTTCACCTAATAGAATATTAGAGCAAATCTCTTATATTTCAGGTTTGGATTTTGCCATAGACGCAAAACAGCTGTCTGAGGGCCTATGACATTCTTTTTTAAAAAAGGAATAATGACTTTAAGCAGTATCTGTTTATTAATCAGTCTTTTTGTATGAGCAAGAGGAAATTTTATGTAAGACAAATGGTAAGCTAGCATCGTTATCGGCGTTCATTATTTTTTTTTTGAAGGTTTTTTTAAATTTCTTCTGTCTGGGATAATAATAGCCAACATATCATGCTTATAATGTGCCAGGCACTGATCTAACTGAATGCGTTATTAACTCATTAGATCTTTACAACTACCTTTCCTGGAGGATAATGTATCATCTTCCCTCTTTTCCAGAAGAGGAAACTGGGGTCAAGTAACTTGTCGAAGGCCACACAGCCAGAACAACCAGGTCCAGAGTCTATGCTTTTAATCCCCGCACTGGACTGCCTTGAGAAAGTTCATAAACAACTCTTGCAAGTGACTGCATTCTCATGGCTGATCATAAGTTTTCCTGCAACTATTCAAATTATTCAAAAAGCCTTCACAAAGCCAGGAGTTGTGCTAGGCTGTATTTCCCCAAACATGTTCACAGTCTTGCAGGGTACCCCTTAATAAAGGGGTTATTGGGTCATTAAGTCTGGAAGATGCCATAAAGTATAGCCTTCTGTGGGGCTTCCCAGGTGGCACTAGTGGTAAAGAACCTGCCAGCCAATGCAGGAGACATAAGAGACCTGGGTTTGATCCCTGGGTTATGCAGATCCTCTGGAGGAGGAAATGGCAACCCACTCCAGTATTCTTGCCTGGAGAATCCCAAGATCAGAGGAGCCTGGTGGGCTACTGTCCATGGGGTCACAAAGAGTTGGACATGACTGAAGTGACTTACCAGGCAAGCACACATAGCCTCTTGTGGGAGATTCACAACAATGTGGGCATAGTAAAGACTCTGAAGCATCTTACAGGAAAAATACCCACTGAATCTTGTGTGACTCAGCTTTTCCAACCATATTTACCTCCGGAAACTCTTCCTCTCCCCTCTGTTCCAACCCTTATCTTCTTTTGTAGGACCTAGTAACACTGTAATTTGAGGGCTATTGCACTGCACATGTAAGTCATCTTATTAGCTTGGCTTTCCAAGCTTGGCAGTTATTCTCAGCTGGGCATCATACAATCTAAGAATGGTGCATATCAGCAGGTGAGTAACCAACACAAGACAAGCTGGTTAGTGATGGATTCGACAGGCAGGTCTGATTTCAGAATTCATGCTGATCACTCTCCTAGGCCCCCTGGTATCTAACGACAGCTGGACATCTTGCCTGAACCAGAGACTATCATCCCCAGTCATCCTGACGTGGGCCTTGCTGTGACCTCACATCAGGGTCTTATTTTCTAGCACCAAGCCCTTCCCTGTTCCCAGTTCACCTGGCCCCTGCAATCTGAATCCCCCTGCTCTGCGAGATACTCAGACACCACTGGAACCCCAACCAAGGAGCTGATCCCTGAAATTTGAAGCTGAACTTGCCTGGTGCCCCCACTGTCTGTACTTCCAGGGTCCCGTTGCCTCTTGTGCTCATGGGGATCCCCCTGTTGTCTGCCTGGCAGAGAGTCCATCTGGACCATCTCCGTGGCTGATGAACCCTGATTATAGCAGTGGCACTGCTTAAAGGATTGAACACTTAGCTGAAAGGCAGAA